CACACCGACAGGGGCCCCCACACCGACAGGGGCCCCCACACCGACAGGGGCCCTCACACCGACAGGGAGCCCCACACCGACAGGGAGCCCCACACCGACAGGGAGCCCCACACCGTCCCCACTACCTCCTGGCGTCCTCACCTTCAGTCCCAGGCCTGTGAATCCCCTTCTTGGCTGGCGTCTCCTTAGTTCTCCCTCAGGATGCTCCAACCACGGGGCCTTTGCATCTGTTGCTCCCTTTTCTAGAATAAGCGTCAAGAACTCGTTCAAATGTGTCCTCAGCGAGGACTTCCTTAGCCACTTCAGAGCCCGCCCCTTCCTCCAGGTGTTCTCTTCCACTCCTATGTTCTCCTCCTTAGTTCTCTGACATTTAATCTCTGGGGATAATTCATTTATTTGCAGTACATTTTTGGTCTGTCCGGGGACTTTTGTTTATTTTATTCAATACAGCAATTGATAAGTGAGGAACTGGGTGGGTGGGGGGTTGCTTTATAGGATGCGATCTTCTAGTGTGGATCTTCTAGTGTGGAGAGCCTGAGCAGCTGCTCAAGAGGGTCCATGGCACTTCGGCATCTGTAGGCATCAGATTTGGTCTGGAGAAGAGGAGTCCCAATAGCCAAGTGCCCAGGTGGCTCTTGGCGGTGGGCCACCCCAGGCACACAGTCAGCACCAGCCGCTGGGGGTTCCTTTCCTAACGACAGCTGCCCTGGATCCCCAAGGCTCTGCAGGGGAGAGCAGACACAGCCCTGTCTGTTTGTAAAAGACCTCTTTCACAGAGCATTCACCTGTCTGGTGACTTGGGTGTAAAGAATAAGGAAACACCAGGAACCCCTTTCTTGGGGGAACCCTGAGCAGTTGGGTCCCCTCTTCTCTGACTCAGTGTCCTGTGTGGCATCAAGCCTCCTCTGTGTTTCCACAGCGGCTTTCTCACCAGCTTCCTTAAATTTCAAAGGCTAAATGCTTCTCTCTCTCTCTCTCTCTCTCTCTCTCTCTCTCTCTCTCTCTCTCTCTCTCTCTGCCTTTATTTCTAAAAGGCCCCTAACTTAAAGGGCACAGGAACCTTGTGTGCAAAGGAGACTCCATACAGCTTTCATCTGGTGACATTTCCTAATTACTTACATCAAATAAAGTCCCAGAAGCCCAGCCTGGTGGGGCAGGTCTCACATCCCAGCTTCTCCAAAGACAGAAGCCAGAGGATCAGAAGCTGAAAGGCTGCCAGAGCTACAGAGGGGTTACCGGCCAGTCTGGGCAACTGAGACCCCGCCTCAAAATAACATCACATAACATCACAAGAGGGCTGAGAACGTGCTCAGTGGCTGAGAGCTTGGGCAGCATGCACATGGCCATAGGCTCAATCTCCAGTACTGCAAAACAGCAAACAACAAAACAAAACAACAATCACAATCAAATCAGCAATTACAGGACCCGATCTACAATTTTACAAGCTGCTGAGTGCCAGTCATGGATCAAATGACTTCAGTGAGCATCACAGACTTTGTTTCATCTGGTTACACTCAAAGACCATTAATCTCTGAGTGTGTGTCTTGTGTGTGTGTTTTAAATAATTTATTTAACTTTATTTTATGTGCATTGGTGTGAGGATGTCCCCTGGAACTAGAGTTACAGACAATTGTGAGCTGTCATGTGAGTGCTGGAAATTGAATTCAGGTCCTCTGGAAGAGCAGCCAGTGCTCTTAATCACTGAACTATCTCGCCATTCCCCTCCTCCTCCTCCTCCTCCTCCACCACCACCACCACCACCACCACCACTGCCGAGAGTGTGTTTCTTAAACTCATGTGTTGCAAATGAAATCCCTAATACAGCAGTGGTGAGAGAGGAAGCCCTTCAAGAGATTAGGTCAGGAGCCCTGTGTGCTCCTGAAAGATTGATTGAGTGCTGGTATAATGGAGGAGGGTGAGTTATCATAAGAGCCAGCAAGAAGAGGAGTCTGACATCCCTCCCCCACACACACACCCCTCTGTGTGCTGTGAAAGCCCATGGGCTCTTATGGCTTTGTACTTTTCTTAGCTAATATTGAAGGCACACTACACACTCAAATCGAGGCTCCTAATGAAGTAGAGGAAAATCATGTGAGATAGTTTTTGAAAACGCATGTTTAATTTGGGGATTGACTTTTGTCAGGGATGATAGGCCTGTGTTTTGCCTCCCCAGGGCTGATGAAAAGCGTGAGCACTCCAGGGTCTGGAGAAGTATGAGCTCTCTGTGCCATTTTTACTTTTGTCTGCCTGGTGTTTGTATCCAGAAGATACTGTCACCCAAAGGGAACCAAAGAGACAAGGGGGGGTTTCGCCAAGATGGAGTGATACTTATTTAGGGCTAGCTTCCAAAGAGGAGATTGAGCGCTGCTGTGGGAAACACGTGCCATGGTAAATGATGAGCACAGTCAGTAGGCTATGGTGTTGAAGACCTCTCACCCCCAAAGAAGGGAGGTAGTCGTCTATGTGCTGTTTTGAAACAATAATCCTTGGCCACGGTGAGTGGTGTCAGTCTGAGGCTGAAGGCCAGTTGTTGGGCAGATGTTCCTGTATGGCATCTTCCACAGCAGGCTGTGGTAGCTTCTGCACAGGCTAGCAGTCTGGCAGAATTTTTTGTGCTAGTTGCTGCTATCAGATAATCATTCATAAGGACTAAGCCCTTCCTTCATCACTTCCTGGGTTACTTACTTTAAAAAATGTAATTGTCATAAGTGATTCCATTTTGATGATGGCAACTTTCATATTTCTTTCACATCATGCTCTATACACCCACTAGATGTGGTAATTATGAACTCTGAGATACAGCAATTTGGAAGACAGGAAAAGTATGTCTGTCTTTGCTCAGGGAAGAAATTTCCTCCTTTTCTTAGAAATCACCAGAGAACCCAGGACAGCCTGGGTAAGGTAACTATCATGAAGGCAGATTGAGCAAATGGGGTGTTGTGTCAACAGGAGTATAAAAGTTAACTCTTTTGATATTAGTACACACAATTATAGACACAAATTCTGATATTTTCCCTCTATAGCAAGCTTACAAAGATGAGTATATTAAATATTTTGAAAAATCATCTTTGGCCTTGTGGCATACCAATACCACTCAAATATTTGCTATGAACTCATTCTGGAAAGTTCTTTAGGAATCAGTGAGCTTGTGAACAGGTGTTCCAGATGAAGAATCAGTGGGGCTCATGAATGGATGTCCCAGACGAGGCCTGGCTTCCAAAATCCAGAAGTTTATACAATACTTCCACAAACTTGCCTTGCCCATACCCTGTCTGAACTCTTGTTTAATTAATACTGATCTCCCCACGGAGATAACTCCAAAACCCAGACTTCTTTTAAAAGGAAGTACTGTGCGACTGACAAACAGAAAAAATCTATAGCATTTCCTTTCGCCTTGTTCCATGAACATCTGCTGTTTTTATCATGGTCCAGACATGGTCACCACTGTTGTCCTGTGAGTTAAGCTCACTTCATTCAGGACCTAAGGAGCAACACAGAAATAAAAGCATCCAGTGAGGCTGTGTGCAGCAAGGGCTTCTCAGCGGCTACACCGGGACTCTGGAGGCAGTGTGGATGCCAGGCGGCCTTCCTAGTACCACTCCAGGTCAACTTGGGGGACAGACACACCTTGGGGAGGACTTTTTAGTTTGTTTTGTTTCTAGGAAACACAGAGCCAAGTAGAAGACTTCGTGAGAGTCACGATATATGCCTTGGCAATATTTGTATATTTGTAGTAGCGTCTACCTCTCTGAGACAGGCCTCGATTTCCCATGGACAGCTCATTCTGTCTCGTCTCAATTCTGTGCCTGTTCATGAGCATGCTAAGATAGTTGTGCACTCATTCATGTAGCCAGCTACCTAAAAAAAACTATGGAACAAGGCAAAGGATATTATTCATAAACAAAACACCTCTCAGGACATTCCCTCCCTCAAATGTGACAAAGGACATGAATAAATAAAGCATCTCAGGACGTCCCGTGCCCCAAATGTCATCACTGGTTTTGTCTTATTATTTCGTATCTGCTAAAGACACTTCAGGATTTGTAAACGGTTGCACAGCAGCTACCTAGGAAGCATGACCACCCTGAGAAAAGGCAGACTGCAAGAGCCACCTCGAGCCTAGGTCTCAAAAGACCACAGAACGTTCTCTCTGCCAACCTGTCTACCCGTCCCGCTCCCCTTCTCTCTCTCCCTCCTTCCTCTCCTCTCTCTTCTGTTTTCCTCTTGCTCCCCCTGCCTGTTCCCTCCCTTTCTCATCCTCCGCCCTCCTTGAGAGCCCTTTGTCTGTCCTTCGGCTTCACCTGCCCACCACCCCCTCTCTCCAACCGTGAAGACAGTCTTGCGGGAGTTTACCAGAGAGTGAGATACGCTGCATAAAGCAGAATTGAGCTGTTCTCACCGAGGCTGGACTAAGGTCTTCAACTGACAAGTGACCCATCAGGTGGCCACAGATGGCTCAGTAAACCGCGCTGAGATCAGCAGAAGCACCCACATACAGATGTGGTGAGTGAGCCCTTGTTGCTTTAGTCCTTTTGTTTCTGAGATGTTTTGTTACATGGCGATAGCTAGCTGATACAGACTCAGAAACATAGGTTTGCATGACAGTTTCTTTTTTTTTTTAAAGATTTATTTATTTATTATGTATACAGAAGAGGGTGCCAGATCTCATTACAGATGGTTGTGAGCCACCATGTGGTTGCTGGGAATTGAACTCATGACCTCTGGAAGAACAGTCGGTGCTCTTAACCTCTGAGCCATTTCTCCAGCCCTATGACATGACAGTTTCTTAGTGACAGATCTGTAGTATAATCAGACTATCTATTACTTATTCCTAGTTAAGGTGTTTGTCTATTTATCCCCCTGGCCCATCTTGTGTTCCCCTGGAGAGCTGACCCTTCTATCTTAAAAAAAAGTAACCTTTGGTACATTCTACCTTCCAAGACAGTCGACAATGGGCATATGGGTTGATGGGTGAACATTATTTTTTTTTTTAGAGATTATTATTATTATGCATACGAGTGCTTTTGCCTGTATGGATGTGGACCACATGCCTACCTTGTACCTGCAGAAGTCAGAATAGGGTGTAGGATCCCTTGGAACTTGAGTTACAGATGGCTGTGAGCCACCCATGTGGGTGCTGGGAACTGAATAGCGGTCCTCTGGAAGAGGAAGCAGCCAGAGCTCTTAATCACAGAGCCATCTCTCTAGCCCAGATGAGCACTCTTATGCAAAGAAGATCAATGAATATTTTGGAGAACGGATCTCTATTTTTTAAGATAATCAAATAATTCCTGATTGTTTGGTGACTAGGGGCCCTCACCAGCTGCTTGCCTATTCATGCACCATTTTCATAAACCCAAATAGTGAGCTCGATTTAATTGTTCATCTTAACATGCAGCATTACTATGCAGCGCTGCATCTTGCCGACTAGAGGTCAGGGAGACGCATGAGCCCCCGACTTTCTGGATACTCATGTCCCTCCCTCTCACCTCCCCTTGGCCTCATGTTTCACTACTGACTATGACATGAAGATATCCACCTACAGCTTCATTCTCAGGCTTTGGAAAAATCTCCTGGCAGCATAGTAAGAAAGGTCACTTAACGATGGGACAATTAATGTTCCCTCCCCATGAATGAAGTTTGGTGTAAAAAGGGGCAAAAATAGTGCCAGAAACAAATTACTGGCTTATAAACGTGTTTATTAAATGCATCATCCCGGAGCAGCAGATGTGAGGAAGACAAAGGCTGAATGCCCAGCAGCGGGTTGTTATGCAAATTGACTGTCTTGTTGCTGGTAATGAGGGGCTTCCATTGCTGGGAGTGGCCTTGGGATTGTATGTTTCTGCTGTTTTGTTTTTTTAATGGGCCATGATTGACTCTAGGAATTGTTTGGATAAATTTTCTCTGTGATTTTGATAGCTCTGGTAATTTTTCCCTAAAAGAAAACACTGATAAGCCTGAGTCTTTTTTTTTTTTTTTACTGCATGATTTTCTAAGGTCATCTTCAATGGTATTGACTAGTAAACTTATCATATGTAATTTATGATTACCACTAATCCTCTTTCTCGAAATCTTGCAAAAATTACCACTAAGTAGAATTATGTTTGGCTTAGAATGGGTGGAAAGAAAAACCTAGAAGCTGGTAATGGCTGTCAGCATTTCCACATCATATTCTTATGGCAGAAATGGGGACTCTCACAGCAAAGTCATTGATTTGATTAGGAAGACTAATCATTACACACTGTAGCAACACCCTCGTGTGCACGCTCCTATCCACGGACCTGGCATTCTTCCCATTTCATCTTTAGAGAGATATTTTCTGGCTCGGTTGAGAAGAATAAGTCATTAGAGGCTCCAGTAAACAATCCTGCGTGGGGTGTCCACT